TTTGTTGAGGGCAGAGGAGAGGGTGCCTGGTTTGGGAATAAAAACAATTCTATAACTATGCTATCCTCCACTGCTGACTCCCCCTGGTTTGCCCCTGGAACAATATGAGCTACTTCTGGCAAGTCTTCAATTTCTTTGCCTTGGATAGACCTTTGCAGTTTGCCCAGTTCTTCTTCTGCAAATGCTTTATTTTGTATTATAAATCAGTGTTGATCTGCTAGCCTCAGTTCTGTTATTTCTGTCTCTCTATGTTGTTCTTTCCAGAACTGGTGCAGTCTTTTCAGATATCCACTTCCTGTTGGACTTGATTTGTAATAGCAAACAATTATTTCTTTGTTTTCAGTCTTTGTATATTTGTGATAGTTAACAACTTTTCTTCCAGTAATCCTGCAGCTCCTGGCCCTAGTTGGTCAGCCCACAATCCTTATTTCTATAACCCATTTGTCATCAAATGTCCAGGAATTCTCATACCTAGTGTAGTCCTTGTTGACCTGGGTAATGATCCAGTATGTTCTATAAATTACATCTCGTCATATGATTTATGGGAGAGGCACTCATCATCTGGCTCCTCTGATACCTGTCCAGTATGGTTGAATCTCATTATCTTTGGAGTGGGCAAGCTCTACAACCATGTCAAGGTAGTGCCTCACTGGGGGGTTGTTGTTGTTGCTGTTATTATTAATATTATTATTACTAAAATTCCCTGCTGAAAACCAAAGGAATAACTTCCAGCATCCCCTTCATTTCAAAGCATGCCTCTTGGTCCCAAATCAGGCATTCTTGGAAAGTAAAAGTAGCAATTTAATGCTTTGCATAGAAGTTTATCCACCAGGATGAGTGAGCGAGTGAGTGAGTGAGTGAGTGAGTAACTTGGGATAATGGGGAGATACAAGCTTGCCACTTTGTCTTCCCCCCTTCCACAATCTTTTGTGACTGGCTGCATAATCTTGATAACCATAGATATGACTTAACCACAACTATGACAAAATGACAAAATGTGCATCATATTTTAATACAAGTTGTATCTTTCTGTGCTTGCATGACATCACGTGCATGTTCATAAAAGGCAGAGTTTGCAGCAACTGTTTTATCACCTGTTCTCTTGTGTTCCCTTGCCATGGAAACAAACACTAACAGTACGTTTATGGTCCCAACGGCAACTAATATGCTCGCAAAATTTCCAATGGGCCTGCAATTCAAACACGTTACTTTTTTGTGCATTCATGTACTGTATATTACTTTCAGCATTGAGAATAGCTGGAAACTTTCAACATACACATAGGATAAGACTGAGGGTGGATTGGTTATGATCTCAATATCTTCCAATGGCTGTGACAAAAGCCAACTATAATAATGATGTGCAGAAAATATATTTTACAGCCAAATAGGAATCAAACAGAGAATACAAAGCAGATGAAAAGAGCTTTATGTACTGGATAAACTTCCTCTTTCTAATCCCATAAATCTCTGGTCTCTCTCTGATTTTGTAAACCAAATGAAATGTTGCCTGAGGTACATTTTTATGATAGAGTATATAAATATATCAATGAAGAGTTTTAAAAGGAAAGACTAACAATTGTATTCGTGAACATACGTTTCTTTCATAGGCAGACAAGTGGAAATGGACTATCCAAGTCAAATGCATTTAAACACTTCTATATAATCACTATCACACATGTACATAACTATTTTCTCTGTAGTATTTTATTTGTAGTTTTCTTAAGGGAAATCAACAATGGAAATGACATTTGATAAACATATAATTCATGATAGACATACTTGTCATCTCTACATCCATTCTATTATAAACTGAAATAAAATACTGTATATGAAGGAGCTTAAAATCTAAAATTTCCACTCAAGTAAACTTATCTTATCCCTACCAAGTACAACAGTTCTCCACTTCTAAAAAGTTACTCATGCTACTTTGTAGAAAAATATATCTCCAAGGTGAACTAAAGTTCGCGTTGCAGAATTGACCATCAAATAGGAAATGCTTACTATATAGGAAATTTCAGCCATCTACTCATTTAGATGTGTTCCCAATTCCAATTAGATTAGACAGAACAGCTAGCTTCCCCATTCTTCAGTCTTGGGTTTTCAACATCCAGAATTTCCAAACATTGGATTGTTGGCTGGGAATCCTGGGAACTCTGGCCCCATCATAATTGTACCTTGTCTGGGATTAGAAGATAAGCAGGATCAGATAGGATTGTTACTTAGATGAAGATTATTAGGGAACACCAAGGGTGTACTCTTGAAAGCAATACGAGTTGGAAGGGACCTTGGAGGTCTTCTAGTCCAACCCCTTGCTCAAAGAGGAAACCCTATACTATTTTAGACAAATGGCTATCCATTTCAGACAAATGTCTCTTCTTAAAAACTTCCAGTGATAGAGCATTCACAACTTTTGGAGGCAAATCATTCCACTGATTAATTATTCTAATTGTCAGGAAATTTCTTAGGTTTAGATTGGTTCTCTCCTTGATTAAATTCCACCAATTGCTTCTTGTTCTGCCTTCTAGTGCCTTGGAGAATAGGTTGACCCCCTCTTCTCTGTGGCAACCCCTTAGATATTGAACCACTGCTATCATGTCACCCCTAGTCATACCCAATTCCTACAACTGTTCTTCACATATTTCATTAAGTTTTATAAGTCTAAGTGCTATTGCTATTTAGCTTCCAGCCCCCTTAATAATCAGCAATAATAAATCCCTTTTATATAGTTACCAATAAAACTTCATGGCTGTACCCATCTTCACTGTTTGATTATGTGCCATTATGATTATGTTTCTCCATGACAATCTATCCTTAACCTGTTCTTGTCATTATGTGAATCTGAATTCTCTCCTTGACTTTGCTTGTTGGAAACTGGTTGGGAAATTTGTAAATTGTAATCAATGTCCATAGGATGCTGCAATTGTCATAAATACATGCCATACATACAAGTGTCCAAATTTTGATCACATGACTATGGGGACACTGTGATGGCTATACAGTAAGGATCACTTATAAGCTTTTCCCTCTTTTTAAGCTTATTGTAGCTTTGAAATAATGATGGTGTCATGGTGGCACCATGGTTAGAATTCAGTATTGCAGGCTAAGTCTGCCGACTGCCAACAGTTCAATCCTGCCCAGCTCAAGGTTGACTCAGCCTCCCATCCTTCTGAGGTCAATAAAATGAGAACCCAGATTGTTGCAATATGCTGACTCTTTAAAACCACTTAGGGAGGGTTGTAAAGCACTTTGAAGTGGTATATAAGTCTAAGTACTATTGCTATCTGAAAATAACCTTGGGAAATAGGAGGAAGTGCTGCAGCCTAGACACCAGTACGCTAAACAAAATTTGAGTTTGAAGGAAGAAGGGTAGTGAAAATACCTCAAAAGGAACCCTCTCTAATTTTGGGAAGTAGAGATGATGTACATTCACAAAATTATGTTAATGTAACTAACATTACATTACATTAACTTCCCTTCCAATTCCAGAATGTCATTAATTCTCCTGTTATCTTGTTTTAGTGCAAATTGATTATATGTATCAACTTATACTATCATTTATACATTCCCAAGAAATAAAACTATATGCAAGTGGAAAATGTTTTCTGAGAGCCTCTGATTTCTTAGGTGATATTTTTCTATAAGAACATTCACAAAGGATAGAAGGTCTTACTCGGCCTCTGATATCCTTCAGTTAGAAAGCCACTACCAGGAATCACACATTGCATGAGGCCATAATGTTAAGCTGGCTGTATGTGATTTCTGTGATATCAGCTTTGCTTGTCAGGGAACCCACAACCAAAAATTATGGTTTTTCTAAAGGGACCCACCAGAGGAAATTTGGCTGGGCAGAACCCACTCAAAATATGGCTTCATGGGGAACCCAAAAACCACCAAGACAACACCCAATGTTCTTTCAAGATTTGGTTTGGGTGCATGATCTTCTGGATGCCTTCATTGAGACATCCAGGCACTTTGTATGGTGGCTACAGCAGAGAAAATGCCACTAAATTTTTTTTGGACCTTTCCCAATTTTCTAAGTTGCCTGTAACTCTAAAGTTTTGTGAAGGTCCCATCAAACCTGCTTAGCTTCGATGCCCTAACATCTACCCACCTCACCTTGCCAAATGAAGCTGTATAATAGAAACCGACCACCCCTTTTTTAGCCAGACTTGGTGGGGGGGGAGGGAGAGAGAATGGCAGCACTTGAAATCAGCTCCGGGAAGGGTCAAAACTCGCTTGGTCTCCGGGCGGAGGGCTTGCCTCCAGCCCGTCCCTCTCTGCAATTCCTTGGACTGCTTTTCCAGCCCCCACCCCCACCCCTTCGGATCTCGCGTGTGCGAGCATCTAATGCGGGGAAGGGGAGGGAGGGGAGGGGATGGCCAGAGGCTTTCCATCAACAGATCACGCAATGCAACTCTGCACGCAACGGGGAGGTGACACTCGAAGGCTAGAAACTTTTTTCAACCCCCAGGGATAATAAGAAGAGGAGGAGGGCGCTTTTCCCTGCCGCCATCTCAAGCGTTTACCGGCCGGACGCTTTAGGGATCGCTCGCCTTGGTCACTCGGGACGCGACGCGAGACGGAGCGTGGCCGCTTTAAACGCACCAAAAAGAGCTTTTCTCTCTCTCTCTCTTTCTCTTTCTCTCTCTCTCCCCCTCCTTCTCTCTCTCTCTCTCTCTCTCTCACACACACACACACACACACACACACACACTCACTTCTCTCTTTCTCTCCGCCCCACTTTTCTCGGCAGCTGCAGCGCAAAAGGTTTTGCCGGGCGCCGAGCTAAACTTGAGCGGCCGGTGTAACTCAGAGTACGCCAGCCGGCTCCTTGCCCGATCGCAGTCTCTAACAGGCGGCGGCGGCAGCAGCGGCAGCGGCGGCGGCAGTAGCAACAGCAGCAGCGTAGATCGCCGGCAGCCCCCGTCCCGGACGGCGGTCTGAAGCTGCTCTCCTCCTTCTCAAGACCGCGAACCGCAACCCCTTGCGCGCACAGCTCAATCGTGGACGGAGGCATTATGACTCAGAAAGATCTGGGAGAAGCGTTAATTGACAGGTTAGTCCTGAGACGGAAAAGAGCTCCATCCCTTTGCGTTTTTAGGACGGGATGGTTCTTTTGTGGTTAACGTCAGCCTGTAATGAAGCCGTGGCGATGATGAGATTATCTACCCACGCACATCAAATGAACTAGGCGGTTTGTTTATTTACTTTCTGATTATTCCAATGCTCAAGGCGTCTTACGAAGCGGAATAAAAACCAGAAGGGTACAATAAAGCAAAAGTAACTTGTTGAAATAGACATTAGAACAAGTCATTAAACTATCAAACAAAAAGCTTGGTAGAGTATACTTTTACAATTTCCCAAAATACAGGTGTCTTCTTTCATTATGGAATAATACCATTGAAGGAAAAGTCTTGTGTCTTGTGGAACTTTCAAATCCTTTTCTCCATAGCAATTCAAACTGCTAACATGTATTCCTCAGAAACCTTACACTGCCTGATGTCTTCAAGTGTCTCTTTGAGTTATAACTTAAAAACCCTATTTTTCTGAATTGGAATTTAGGTCCCAATATTCCATGTCATTTGCAGTCAGCAGCTTCTAAAAATGTTGACTTTAGGATGGCCAAAATATTGAGATATTCCACATCTTTAACTTGGAAACTAATACCTGGCTTTACTCTGTTCTCACAGTGGCTTGCCCATAATTGTCTGTACTATCATGTCCCCCCCCCCCCCAAGTTAACCCATTTTCTATAGCTACACAACTACACACCCAAAATACAGTTGGCTAATTTGTGGATGAATGCATCACCAAATATTGCCAAGTTCCTGAATTCCCCACTTTTATGTACAAATGTGCATCATCAACTATTGATTAGATTTCCGAATAAATTGTAGCAATCCTGTTACAACTATAGCATCTTCTGTTGTTATTAATGGATTGCTGGATTCCTTGTTCAATGTATCTGATGAGAGGAAATCCAGCTGAAGAGTTATTGCCAAGTTACAATTATTCACTTCAGTTTGAATGTAACAATTAACTTCATTGGTTAGTATCAAGATAAAAGGATGCATTTCACCAGTTATATGGGGAAAAGTTCTATTGAAGTCAGTGGGCTCCCCCCACCCCCACCTCCAATATTTGTGGAGTCACTTAGGACCAAAGCCTATTGAAACTAGTTTTTGCCTTCAACTATGGGTTACATTAGATTGCATATATTAGGATATTTTACTCAAGTTAATTGCATGAGCTAGTTAAGAACGCAGGCAAACCATAAACATTTTATTACAAGCAAGAATTCAGAAATGTGTGGCCATAGTGCTGTAGTTTTCCCTGTTCTTCAGTTACATCTCATATACTTAGGGAAAAAAGGTGTTTTGGCCTGCAAAAATCTGGAAAACCACTAGATTGCAGTACTCAGCATTTTCTGAATCTCTCTGCTGCTAAGTCTTGTAGCATTTTTGCAGTTCAGACATGTAGCCCCAGGCTTACCTAAGGATTATCTTGACTTTCTATCCATCCCAATCTTTGTGTTAAGAAAATGAAGAGCCAACAAGCAATGTGGATACAATGCTGTTTAGATTCACAGCCAAATCCCCATTTGTGGGTGGTCTTGGAAACGTTACACTTTACCCTAAGACGCTCAGTCATGACAATAAACAACACCTGTAAAACACTTTGCATATACAGCAGCTCAGATTACTGGTAGCTCAAACCAGTGGCATTAATTTTCAGGGAGAAGGGAAGTAGTTTGCTATCATCTATTATTTAATGAGATGGATTTATTTTGAAATTAGCAAGTTAGAAGAGTTTTAATAACGAGATTCAAATTTAGTAGAATTCCCCAGAAGTTCAGTGAAATGACTTTTTGTGGTTGATACATCTTATTTATGAAACTAAAACATTATTGGCTGGTTTGTAGCTTACTATGTTATGCACTCAGTTCAGGTAACATAGTTTTATTTGTATTATGCAAACTCAGGGAACAAATCCACATCAAACCACTTCATTTTGTGCACCTGAAATAAAAGTTGCTTCCTAGAGCCAAACAGAAATTCACAAATTTCACAGACCCTTTCTGTAGCATGGGTAGAGGTGATGATCAAAAAAAAAGTTAAGATGGCAGCTATTACTGTGCAATTGGAGCCTCACCCCCCTTTTGATAAATATTGCACTCACCTTGACCTTTTTGTTACCATTTCCCCTCTTTATTTCTAAGTTAATAGAACTAGTAATGCAACCCATGAGAAAAATGCAATAGTGAGATTATAGATTTTGGAAACATGCAACACATAATTGAAAGCCAACACCTGTCAAGTTTATTATCAGTCTCTAATTATATTCTGTTTGTGGACTTCTTACTCTAAGCTTCAGAGGAGAGACTGAAGGTCTGAATATCTTCCCACAGGAGGGGAAATACAGATAGATCTAAGTGTACAAAATGGAGTCAATGATTTTTAAGGGGACGCAATAATGTCGCAACCCCTATCCTGTACCTCAAAATATGCGCATTTGCAAGCTGGCACTGAAAACTAGCACCGGAGTCTGGTGCAACACAGATATCTAAGTTTTGACCCACAGAAGCGCTCCTAAGGCGGCCTCTTTTCTCCGCAGCGCGCGCCCTCGCGGTCTGGAAGAAGCGCTCCGGGCCGGCGTGCCGCCAATGCAAGACTTGCTGCTCCTGCTCCTCCTGCTGCTGCTCGCCTTCCAGGCGGTGAAGTTTCTGGTCTTCGAGTGGTGGCGACGGAGGAGGCTGGAACCGCCGGGCCCTTTCCCGTGGCCCCTTCTGGGCAACGCCGCTCAACTGGGCCGCGCCCCTCACCTAGCTTTCGGGCGCCTGGCGGCTACCTACGGCAGCGTTTTCCAGCTGCGGCTCGGCAGATGGCCAGTGGTAGTGCTGAGCGGCGAGCGCGCCATTCGCGAGGCCCTCATCCGCCAAGGGGCCGCCTTCGCGGGAAGGCCTCCTTTCCCTTCTTTTCAGCTGGTATCCGGCGGACGCAGCTTGGCCTTCGGAGGCTACTCCGAGCTGTGGAAACTGCAGAGGCGTTTGGCGCACTCGACCTTGCGCGCTTTCTCGGCGCGCCGCCTCCTGGAGCAGCCCTTGCTGGCTGAGGCGCGCGCTGTGGTGCGTCTCCTGGTGAGCGCTTGCGCCGGCGGCGCCTTCGTAGATCCGTCTCGGAGCCTGGTGGTGGCCGTGGCGAACGTCATGAGCGCGCTTTGTTTCGGCCGCCGCTACAGCCACACTGACGTCGAGTTCCGGCGGCTGGTGGGTCGAAACGAGCAGTTCGGGCGCACCGTGGGCGCCGGGAGCGTGGTTGACGCGCTACCCTGGCTGCAGCGCTTTCCCAACCCCGTGCGCTCGACTTTCCGCGCTTTCCGCGCCCTCAATCACGAGTTTTACAGCTTCGTCCGCCAGAAGTTTCTCTGGCATCGGAACAGCCTCCGGCCGGGAGACCCTCTACGCGATCTGATGGACGCCTTCATCCGCCTGCAGCAAACGCAACCTGGCTTGCCTCTGGAGCATGTGCCGGCTACCGTCACTGACATCTTCGGCGCCAGCCAGGATACTCTCTCTACAGCCCTGCAGTGGCTCTTGATCTTCCTCATCAGGTGAGCTGATTGGCGGGAAAGGATGACTGGAGGAGCTGTTGTGCGCGGCACGCGCGCGAGGTTACACATGTTAGGTACCAGTATAAGAAAGTCTATGGAGGTTCTCAGTCACCCAGGTCAGGGGTCTCCAACCTTAGCCACTTTAAGACTTGTGGACTTCAACTTGCAGAATTCCTCAGCCAGCAAAGGTGGCTGAGGAATTCTGGGAGTTGAAGTCCACAAGTCTTAAAATGGCTAAGGTTGGAGACCCCTGACCCAGGTCATGGTTGGAGACCCCTGACTCATGGTCATGTCCCAAAGGTGTTTCTTCAAGAGGCACCTGGACTTACTGGTTTTTCTTGGCACCATCCTCCATTCCCCACCATCCAGTCAGAGCTGAAGAAGCTTCTTGGATGAGAAGTGAAACATCTTCCAAGAAAAACCAGAAAGACAAATTGCCTCTTGCAAAAGAATCTTTGGGACAGTATAAGAAAGATTAGGGGGGGGGGTGGGGGGAATGGTCCAAGGGACACAACTGATCTGGAAAGTCTAAAATCTATGAAAGCAGCCAAACATTAAAAATTGAAGGAGGATTTTTTATCCTGTTTGAATGCATTAGGGTATAATTTATCCCCGCATCCCTTGGGACCCTACTGTGTCTTATAAACATGTATTAAATATATCTCCTCTATGAAGTCTACGTTTGAGCTAAACTATGAATGTTGGTGGGAACAAAAAGTTGCTGAATATTTAGTGATATTTTGGAAATGTTTGGAGTAAGAAAACTGACATTATAAAAGTTTTTGCAGCCTTGAAGATTATGTAATTTTTTTTAAAAAAAGAGGGAGGATAATATTACACAAATTTGCATGATGGTGTCTGATATCTAATCTGCACTGGTGCTAAGTAAAAAATGGGAATTTTTCTCCATTTATTCCCATGCCACCTGTTCTGATGGGGGTTTCTGAATCATTTGGAGCAAATGTGGAAAGGGGGACAAAGGAAACAAATACTGCCTCCTTCCTATCCCCCACCCAGTAAAATTTTATCTCAGGAAGAACAAAACTCATTTGTCAAAGCAAAAAACTAGTTTTATTGATTTATTTGTACCCTGTCTTTATTATTTTTACAAACAACTCAAGGTGGCAAGCATATCCAATACATCTTCCTCCTCCTATTTTCCCCACAATAACAGCCCTGTGGGGTGGAGTGGCCTGAGACAGAGGGATTGGCCGAAGGTCACTCAACTTTCATGCCTAAAGCTGGACTGGAACTCTCAGTCTTCTCCTTTTTAGCCTGGTACCTTAGCCACTATACCAAACTGGCCAAGATTCATAATTTAAACAAGCTTTTTATATCTTTCCCTGTGCCAGAGAATATTTCAGTATTTTAAGGAAATTAAGCAATCTAATATTAGTTAACACTTTTGCAGGCTGATACTATCTTGGATTATAAATATTTCATCTGTTCAGGTGGCAATTATTTTTAATGAATGTTGTTTGTTTTCATCTCTCTCTCTCTTTCTCTCTTCCACCAGATTATGGAAAGAAAAGGGTTATGAAATGTTATTGATAATTACTGTTTGAAATTTCAGTTATCAATTTGAGAGAAAGAATTGGTTTTCTATGGTTTGCTCTTCATTAATATGAATCTCCAATGAAACTTGTATTCTCTAAGATCGTTTTTTTAGAAGAAATAATAGCTCTTTCTTGGATCTTTGGTTAAGTTAAGAAAAACCAATTGACAATTGTAATGTTCTGAGTAGAAAACATAGGAAATCTCTGTTGCATCTTTTAATATATACTTTGTATTTATATACTGCCCCTCCATATGGATACATGACAGTATAAAAAAGGAATCAAGATCATAACAGAAAAACAGAAACTTAGAAATAATAATCCTCAAAACTGTCAAAATCTTCACAACTGATTCTATTAAAAATACTCATAATGATAGACCTTAATTAAGTAATTTTCATTTCCCCCCAGTTTTGTTCAAGAGTGGATTTCTAGTAGTTATTATTATCTGTTCCCAACAATGTGGAGTCACAACTTCCAGTTCTTTACCTGGTGTTGGCTTTCATATGCATCGAATTTTCCCCAAGAGTTTAGGATGCCATAATATATCAGCATAGTATATTTGTGGATCCAAGAGGTGCAGTTGACAGAAGAAATTTTTGTCAGTGAGAAGAGAAAGCTGGCTGGGTGACTTTGGGCCAGTCACTTTTAGTCCAATTCACCTCACAGGGTTTTTACTGTGAGGAAATAGGAGATGAAAGGAATATTAGGTGTGTTTGACACCTTACTTGTCATAAAGTAATAATAAAAGCCGGATAAAAATCTAAAAAATAAACTTTCAGTAGGAAAATCAGGAGTTTTCTTGCTTTGTTATGTTTTAGTCAAATTCAATCAAAATATTATATTTGGCATTTTTTTAAAGAATAGATGTTTTAAAGAATAGATGTTTGACTATCTTTTCTTTAACTTGCCTATTGAAATACATTTTCTTTTAGAACTGTGTAAAATTGTTGGGAAAAAAGTGGTTGGTTAGTTCCTTGTGTTGATTTTCATGATTTTCAACATAATGTTTGTGCATCTATAAAACTATTGGAGAATGATATTACTTTTTTACTCATTTGGGAAAATGAACATGAAAGAAAGAGAACATATGTGTGAATCTCATTAGCAAGATTTTTTATTTACAAAGTAAACAAAAAAAGCTTCACAACTATCTCCAAAATGGCAAGGCCCAATTATTGTACATCAGAACTGCATTTGCAAGAGAAAACACATAGTCACAAGAGATTCATATACATCTTCCCCTTTCCTGCCAATTGTGCCCCCTCACCTGCTATTCATGTGTTCATAGTAGCATAGGGTTGCCTAGGTGATATCTGCTTTCAGAGTGTTGAGGAAAGTGATTTAAAACTACTGCTGTTGTTTCTTACCAGGTATCCTGAGGTACAAACTAAACTTCAAGAAGAAATAGACAAAGTCGTTGGCCGGAACCGCCTGCCCTGTGCTGAGGATCAGCCCCATTTGCCTTCTGTCATGGCTTTCCTATATGAATCTATGCGTTTCAGTAGCTTTGTGCCAGTTACCATTCCTCATTTCACCACAGCCGATACCATCTTGATGGGCTACCACATACCCAAAGACACAGTGGTCTTCATTAATCAGTGGTCAGTGAACCACGATCCAGTGAAATGGCCTGCCCCAGAAGTTTTCAATCCAGCAAGATTCCTGGATGAGAATGGATTCCTGAACAAAGACCTTGCTAGCAGTGTGCTGATTTTTTCAGTGGGCAAACGAAGGTGCATTGGAGAGGAGTTATCCAAAGTGCAACTCTTTCTCTTTACTGCCGTCTTGGTCCACCAGTGCAATTTCAGTGCTAATCCAAAGGAAGATTCTAAAATGGATTTCACTTATGGCTTGACTGTTAAACCAAAGCCATTTACACTCAGTGTCACACTTCGAGATAGCATGGATTTGCTGGATAATGCTGTCCAGGGACTTCAGGCAGAAAATGCAACTGAACATTGCTTGTTTAATACATGAATGCTTAGGTTTTAATGTTGTCTGTAATGCTATGTAAGGATTATATTTCTCCCCTCTTTTTTTTTAAATGAAGCACTTAGGTATACAATGTGTTTTAGAGAGATGCTAGGAAGAAACGAAGTAAGACAATGTATGAGTAAGCATGGTGTATTTTGCAAAGTGATGTTTTACTTACCTCAGCAAATCTTGCCAACCATTTTCCATAGTGTGAATTTAATCATTAGTTTGCTTCCCTAATTATACTGTGGTGTTCCTATACTTCGTTCACTTATCTTTTTACTAGCCACCCACCCAATTCCTTCATTACACAGTTCTCCTGTATTTTCTTTGTCTTTTTCAGGGAGGGGTATATTTCTCTAACAACATTCTGTCCAGAAAATGACATGTTAATGCTGAAGACAAATAGTTTAATCAATAGATTACAAAATAGTACCTACTGTCAAGATAATGCACATAAGCGCTAAGTGTCAGATGGCTGGTTAGCTAACTTTTCAACCAACAGTTGAATTGTCAGATCCACTGTGTTAGGGGACAAATTAAAAAAAATGTAGGGAATCAACTTCTGTAGTTGAGTGTCTTCCAGCTGTTAGGGCTCTCAGAATTCTCAATATATTGGTTTCAAATGGTAAGAGCAATGCATATTACTCCTAGAAGATACCCATCTGAAACCTTAAATTTCAATTCTGTTTTTTTAAAGAACCTACACTCACTTTCAGCATTGACATCTGCTAAAGCAGCTCTAGCTAATATATTGTCATAGGCTTGTAGTTGTATTCCTAGTGCTCAACAAATGTTGAAATTCAAATAGGATTTTTTGTTTTTGTTGCTCATACGGTAACTTTAAAAACAAATTCAGAAATGCTAAATTTAACTAAATGGGTGCATTGCACTCCATGTGCATAACTTATTGATAAGAGATGATGCATTTAGTAATACAAATTATTTTTATCCTTCTCATACATATTTTCAAGGTATTCCACATAACCAGATATTATTTGTAGTTCAGTCAGCATTTATAAATCAGTTAATTTATCTGGGTTTCTTTAGTTAAGTGCTTTCTTAAGAAATTCATTTCTTTTCAGAAATAGAACAAGCTGTCCTTGATCAAAATATACCTAGAAATAATAGGGGAGGGGGAATGGATTGTTTGTGTTTTAAATTAATTGAATGGAAAGTTGAAAGCTCTGTGAATTTTACTGATGAAATCAGTAAAGAGGCAAAGTTCAAAGTTGTGATCTTTCATTTAAAAAGGCTCTTAGTTTAAAAAAAAGTAACAGCTTACAGTCGTTCTGTATCTTGTATACAGTTTGAGCGATGGAAGATTGGGATGCCCAGATCCCTTTGAGTTGACTGTCCTCCATTGACCCCATGTGAATTTGTCACAAAGTCATTATTTTCCAGGTCATCTAAGCCAAACTACCACAAACTATCTCCTCTCCTAAGACAACCTGAGAACGGAACATGGAAGTTTGGAAGTTGTCTAGGTTGGACAACTTGACCTCAGATTTTCCAAAGTGAGTGTTCTATGTATGTGTAAACTACTATTTGAGACAATACCACCCGTGTTAGGAAAATGAGGGCTGAACACATCATGCTTCTGATTTACCACAGTTGTCATATTCCATACAGTTTTATCCATATCTACATAACCTGATGACTTGTGCTGAAGTATATTTTTCAGCAGCCCCAAGTGGCCAATAGTAATAGATGCAAGAAGAACATGAAGTGCCACAAGTTGCCTGTCCCAAGTAAAGATTCTCATGCAATATTGCCAAACAATGTTCTGGATTACCTTACAGGTTCAAGATCTTATCAAGTCTTATCAGGGCAATCTGACAAGTATCAAATTTGGTTTTGAGCAAAACACCCACAGCGAATAATAATGTAGTGCCTTGCTTCTGTTTTTAGATGTCCCATATAGAGCACTCAAACCTGCTTCAAATCTGCTAAAAAATGAAGTTTCAAAAATCATCCAGCTGTATACATTGGAAAATGAAACAATGGGTTTATTATTTACAGTGCATTATATTGGCCTTTCCCATTCTGATAACCCTGCGTAGGTGTTAGATTCAATTTCCATAATACTCTGTCAGCATGGCCTTTAATCATACCGGGATATTAGTTCAATCCCTGAAAAGCAAGCTGTATTCTAGAAAGCTATATTATGTAATCCTGCAGCTGTATAGACCAATGCATTTGCCTGTGCATTCTATTTCTAAAATTCAAAACAGCAATAAACTCATGCATTCCTATACTTAAGAATTCTTAATTTCATAATTAACTTTGAGAGAGAAAGCATAGAGTTTACAAACAAATTTAGAAAGATGATATCAATTATTTCATAATCTACAACAAATTAAATTTGTTCTTACAGAACTTGGCCAGCGTCTGTGAAACCCTGTATGATTATAAATTTATTAATCTCAGGTCAACATAGGATTGAACATGGGGTAATATTTTTAGTTATGTAAAGATGGTTTGTAACTGCATGATGTGTACGTTTATGAATATGCATATATATTACAGAATGTAATATTTCAACATCACACTCACTGACTTTCTTTTAACAAATGGCTGTAATTTTGTTTATTCAACTTCCCCAAAACCTTTAAAATATATCAGACTGATAAAACAGCAGGTATATATGCCAACAGAATTCAGTTACATACATATCTTTTAAAATGTTTAAATCCTATTGGACTTGATCCAATATGCATAATGATCAGTTCCAATCTGGGTTGGTCACCACAACAAGAAGTTTAGTTTTCCGAGATTTCAAGACTCCTCAGGGGAACTTCTCTCTCACCAGAATGTGTTACAGTAATGTGTCACGTTCTGTTAGAGAGAAGTTCCCTGAGGAAGGGCACCAACACAGGTCTTGAAATCTCAGAAAACTAAATCTCTTGTCCTGGTGATCAGCCCAGATTGAATCTTGCAACATTATGCTGGGACCTATGTTGTTACGTTTGCCTTCATTCGTAATGGACACTTCATTTGAAAGCCAATAAATCTGGAGAGTATTTTTTAAAGACAGCTGATTAATTACCCAAACTATTACTATTGTTTCTCTATTCCAATTACTTTGCACTTAATGAAATTTTAAAATGTGTATCACTTTGGATTGTTTTGAACTTTATTATTGTGGCTAGAGGAAGGCAGCATGGAGTCACTCTTAGTGTCCATCAGGTTTTTATGGTTTGTACCACCTGACTTTTTTTCCCCTAATTTGTTTTATTTTAAAAAGAATGAATGGGCAGCTGGCACAGCACATAAGAAAATGCCAGTCTTCTGAAAAATAATTCTGGCTTAAAATATACTATAAGAATTATTTTATAAAAAATGTGTGGGGCTGTAATCCAATGCTTTATTTGGATATGTGCCCACCTGCCCAGAAAAAAACTTCAAAGAAAATCTGAGGGTGATTAAAATGCACGCTGGGGTATTACAGGAAATGGCTGGGAACATCTTTCCATTGGTATATTTTTAATGTTCTTGTTTTATAAGAGTGTGCAGAACATACTCTTAACATTCCAAAGATGTACATCCACCCACAAAATTTGCCTGTCCCTCCTCTAAAAGCTGTGTTATTTTTCACAACAGAACATACATGTTTTGTCTCACCTTCAAAAGTGGGAAATTTAAGTACTTCTCTTACTTCTACATACATTTGTTCTTATAAAGTGAAGCAGGAGAGCCAGCATTAGTTATATTCTGTGCTTAATCATTGCATGCTAGTGTTGGAAATTTCTGGCTTTAGAAAACGCATAATCTAGTTTCTGTGTTTGCTTGCTTGCCTGAACGTTGTCCTCTCTTTAAGAGTCAACACATTTTCAGCATCCGGATGACCCTGTGGCTGGTCAATTTGATATGGTTCTGTGACTTTGTTTCATTTTTGGTTATTAACCTAGCTTAAATCCCTCCATCTTAGCTGGGTGCCTTGGCCCTTTTCTCATTAAGTACAGTTTGTTCCTTATTTTCTAACTCCTGTTCATCTAAAAAATCATAATCTTTTGTACTTTGAAGCTTAGCAGGGAAAGATTTTTTTGGGTTCTGTTTGATTTGGGCTAAGAATTAACAAAAGCTTTGAATTACCTTTGTGGTAGGTAACCCTGGGATTACATTTAGGGCAGGGTTAGGCCCAGGGTTTAATGCCTAATGCTTTTTGGCGGAAAAATATTTTGAATATATCCTAATGTCCTGTGGAATAATTTGCCTTTTATATTTTACTGGGATTACAATGAGATTAGACTTCTAATTTTATATAGATTTTATTATAATACACGTTCATTTACAGTTTATCCAATAAAAAGTAAAATTCTAATTTTATTTTATATTACTTCCTGATAATAGTTTATACTAACCTTGAATTTTTAGATGTACCTGAGTGTTGGCGTTTCTTCTTTCTTCTAATTTGCTAGTGATAATCTCAGTGGGAGATTCTTGATGCTTTCTTTGTTTATGCTGTATTCACCTTGAAAGAAAATGATTCTTCTTGTGTATGTACCATGTTAATTATATATATGACTTAATCTGACTTGATCAAGCATATTGTTGCAATATGATCGTGTATAAAGAGAATGGGTGTCTGTAACTCTCATAATCAGTAGATGGTCTATGGGTAGATGTGTTTTGGGATGATGTGTTTTGGGTAAGTTATTGTTGAAATACCTAGAGAAGTCTTCCTAATCTTTATTATTGTATTATATGTCTGCTATCCATAATTATTTGTAACAAGGAACATAAGTACCGTCCTCTACAGAAAATAAATTTCTATATTGTTATTCAGTATACTTTTAATAAAGAAACCTGAATTGTTTATTTCCACTTGTGTATAACTTGCAAATATATGTTCAGTCTCATCTGTTTCCTGAAGTTATTATTAGTGCATTGGTACATAACCAGGAGACCACAATGCCATTGCAGAATAGTAGTGTGGTTGCCAATTTACCAGCTCTGTTGTAGCTCACATGCTTCCCGAGGTGCAGCACAGTAGGGCAAGCTGGCTTCGCATCAGAAAGAAACATGAGCAATTCTTCCTGCAGAATCATCCTAGGCCCCGTCCCTTGCCTCGTAAATCGGCATCACAACCGGGAAGATTCCTGAAGTGATAGTTTCTGGCTATGACCACAGTTGATAGACAGTTAATAGGAAAAATGTTGATTGAATTTAATTCCTACAGAAGCAAACATACAAACCTGTTGAGCTCAATGTATATACTTTCGTTACAAAAATATATACATTTAATGGCCTTAGGAAATGGATAGGCAAGTAAGATGCTCGTTAATTCTTTTGATCAAGGTATTTCATATCAGTTCTAGCTCTTTAGTTCATCTCTTGTCACCTTAGTTTTTGTCTTAAGTCTATCGATTATGATTATCACATTATTGGGGTTGAAGAAGCAGGCTGTCAAGATTGAACCACTTTGCTTCTTTCAAACCATAATGATTTTCACCTTGCCTTTGAACTGTGGGGAAGGAAGGGGGAAATGGAATGCCGAGAGTGTATGGAGAGATCGTGAGAACCCGGAAACCATCAAGGTCACCACTGCAGATGTTGGAGAAAGAGAAGGACTGTTCCCATAACAAATGGATGCCTCATAATTGGACAATGTGATCACCCAGGGGTGGGGAAAAGGGAAATTAATTAGTTAAATAATGACTAGGCAAGCATTTGCATGGGAAAACCAGAGCTGGTTTTGTTTCTTCAGTACCAACAAGTTTTACTTTTGGGAATTCAAAATTCCTGAGAGTGTTTCCTTGAATAAACCTATTTTATGTTCCCACAATTTTTCTTGCTTTGAATTCTTAATGAAACCTAATGCTTTTAGAATATTATGCAAAATTAAAATTGCCAATGTGGAAGAGCCAAAGCAGAAATCAGGTATTGATGAATGATGTGAGCTCTGCAAATATATTTAATTCTCAAAAACTTCAGTAAGTTTTAGTTTCTGGACTTATAGAAGCATATCTTTAATTTTTGATGTACAGTAGATTTTCCCCTTAGTTGTAGATTTTGGATTAGATCAGGCCTCTGACTTTGGATGGTTGATTAGTTTTAGTTCGACCAAAACAGTATAATTGAAGATTAGTATCTTTTCCAAGATAACATCTCAAGTGGAAAGGAAGGTTTGTTTGAGAGATTTCTCTAAAGCCGGGCTTCCTTCCGGTTGCTGAGATTCAGTCAAGTTGAACAGCCTCATTATGAAGTCTTGGCTCATGTTGCTGCTTGTTCCAATGTGGCTCTGCATTGGCTTCTTCAGCTTCTGGCAGAAGTGAGAAACAGACTTCTGAATCCATAGTCCAAAAATTGTACCTTCTTGGTAAACTTTTCAAGGGATGCAAGAATAGGAAATATGGACCCATCCACCACCATTTTCCGTTCAATGCGTTATTTCTCTTGGGTATCCCCACTTAGCATCCTGTACATTGTTTCCAAGTCATATTTTTGAAGTGTGAGACAAGAATACTTGAAGCTAGTTGTCTACAGAGCGACTAATTCAGTCTCCTGAGGGAGAAACAAGCATACAACAGATACTGAGTCAGTATTGTTATACTGAAAAAGATGAAAAATGGGAAGAGCTAAGTGTAAAGGTGCTACAACCAGTATGGTGTTAAAGCATTAGGATGGATACCACTTATCTCAGCCCTAGGAAGAAGACAATGGCAAAGCATTTTCAAAGTCTTCCTAAGAAAACTGCAGGAACTTGTCCAGGTGTTTGCTGGGCGTCAACCATAATGTGAAGGCACACATGCATGCGTGTGCGCACGCGCACACAAAATAAGCAACCTTGCATGAAAGAAGCCAATGAAACAATGAAGGAAAATTCTGAAAAGCAACCTGGTCACAGTGTTGTCATCAGTGTTATGAGGTAACACAAAAATAAGATGGCATGATTTGTTCAGACTATGTAGCCAGTCTTTACTCCTCCTCTTTAATGTGGTAAACAAATAATATTGTCTGAATAATTTACTGCAGAGATAAATTAAGATCCAATGACTGATAGAGCATCATCATAGTGGAAAGAACGTCAGTGAAATACCCACCTTTAAAGTTCTGCACAAAAATTCCTAATCTATCCCTTTCTCTAGGAAAGTGGATGCTGTGTTATCAACAGGAAATGGAACAGAAGCCCCTAGTCTACTACTTGCATGATCTTAATCTACCTGTAAATGCTATCACTATATCAGGATTACTAGCACAATTAGTAAACCAGGATGTCTGTACAGTACTTCATAGTGGTTCTGGACTATCTCCTTTCATTGGAATAGTAGCTTTATATGAGATGGAGAAAATGGAAGATCAGGCCTTCTCTAAAGTGACCTGCCTGTCAGATCTGTGTAGAACCAGGACAACCTGTCCTTAAGGATCTTTGTTCCTCCACATCTAATAAATAGAGCATTTTTCTCTCTCTAATTATCTTGCTGCTCTTCCCACACTCCTTGTGTAATATAAGTCATCACCATGAACAAAAATGGCTGCAGAGGGAAGTCAGCAATGACCAGAGAAGTGGGGAACGATTGCAAAAATGAAAAACAGCCAATAGGAGGTGATCAGATCCCAGTCCCATCTGGATCATTACCATGGTCACCATTACCACAACAAAGAAACATGCAGCTAAGCATGTGTTGTTTCAGGAGATGGAAAACACTACTTCTATTCTGGATCAGCTGGTCTCAGCTATGTTTGTGTTAGAGATGAGAGAAAGGCTGTAGCGTGAAGATGTATTCTTACTGGTTAGGGAGATATCTTTGAGCCAAAGGTAGGGGAAATGTGTGGGTATGCTGAAAATTTGGGATTCTTGAGGAATTTATCATTTGACCAGAGGCAAACCAAATATTTGTTTTGAAAACCTCTTTTTTAAAATCAATTTTGTAGAGCTGGGCTGCAAAAACCTGATGACCTCTAGATGGGTACTATTAGATAAATTAGTATATTTAAATATTATACATTT